GATAATCATGTACAGAATCAGTAATCATGTACAGAATTAGTAATCATGTACAGAATTATGTACAGAATCAGTAATCATGTACAGAATCAGTAATCATGTACAGAATTAGTAATCATGTACAGAATTATGTACAGAATCAGTAACCATGTACAGAATCAGTAACCATGTACAGAATCAGTAATCATGTACAAAATTATGTACAGAATCAGTAATCATGTACAGAATCAGTAATCATGTACAGAATTAGTAATCATGTACAGAATTATGTACAGAATCAGTAATCATGTACAGAATTATGTACAGAATCAGTAATCATGTACAGAATTATGTACAGAATCAGTAATCATGTACAGAATTATGTACAGAATCAGTAATCATGTACAGAATCAGTAATCATGTACAGAATCAGTAACCATGTACAGAATCAGTAATCATGTACATGTACAGAATCAGTAATCATGTACAGAATCAGTAATCATGTACAGAATCAGTAATCATGTACAGAATTAGTAATCATGTACAGTAATCATGTACAGAAAGTAATTATGTACAGAATAGTAATCATGTACAGAATCAGTAATCATGTACAGAATCAGTAATCATGTAATCATGTACAGAATTAGTAATCATGTACAGAATTATGTACTGAATCAGTAATCATGTACAGAATCAGTAATCATGTACAGAATCAGTAATCATGTACAGAATTATGAACAGAATCAGTAATCATGTACAGAATTATGAACAGAATCAGTAATCATGTACAGAATCAGTAACCATGTACAGAATCAGTAATCATGTACATGTACAGAATCAGTAATCATGTACAGAATTCATGTACAGAATCAGTAATCATGTACAGAATCAGTAATCATGTACAGAATCAGTAATCATGTACAGAATCAGTAACTATGTACAGAATCAGTCATCATGTACAGAATCAGTAATCATGTCAGTAATCATGTACAGAATTAGTAATCATGTACAGAATCAGTAATCATGTACAGTAATCATGTACAGTAAATGTAGTAATCATGTACAGAATCAGTAATCATGTACAGAATGTACAGAATTATGTACAGAATCAGTAATCATGTACAGAATCATGTACAGAATTAGTAATCATGTACAGAATCAGTAATCATGTACAGAATCAGTAATCATGTACAGAACAGTAAATTATGTACAGTAAATACAGAATCAGTAACCATGTACAAAATCAGTAACCATGTACAGAATCAGTAATCATGTACAGAATTAGTAATCATGTACAAAATTATGTACAGAATCAGTAATCATGTACAGAATCAGTAATCATGTACAGAATCAGTAACTATGTACAGAATCAGTAATCATGTACAGAACAGAATCATGTAATCATGTACAGAAATGTACAGAATCAGTAATCATGTACAGAATCAGTAATCATGTACAGAATCAGTAATCATGTACAGAAAGAATCAGTAATCATGTACAGAAAGTAATCATGTACAGTAATCATGTACAGAATCAGTAATCATGTACAGAATCAGTAATCATGTACAGAATTAGTAATCATGTACAGAAATAATATGTACAGAAGTAATCAAGTAATCAGTACAGAATTATGTATGTACAGAATCAGTAATCATGTACAGAATTAGTAATCATGTACAGAATTATGTACAGAATCAGTAATCATGTACAGAATCAGTAATCATGTACAGAATTAGTAATCATGTACAGAATTATGTACAGAATCAGTAATCATGTACAGAATTAGTAATCATGTACAGAATTATGTACAGAATCAGTAATCATGTACAGAATTAGTAATCATGTACAGAATTAGTAATCATGTACAGAATACAGAATAGTAATCATGTACAGAATTATGTACAGAATCAGTAATCATGTACAGAATCAGTAATCATGTACAGAATTAGTAATCATGTACAGAATCAGTAATCATGTACAGAATTGATAATCATGTACAGAATCAGTAATCATGTACAGAATTGATAATCATGTACAGAATCAGTAATCATGTACAGAATTGATAATCATGTACAGAATCAGTAATCATGTACAGAATTAGTAATCATGTACAGAATCAGTAATCATGTACAGAATTAGTAATCATATCCATTTTAGTCTAGAACTTTATCCTTTGGATAGTTTACACATAAGCATTTTCAAAGAAATTCGCCGCATAATGTTTTCAGATAAACCAGAGTGTGCACATGTTTCCAGACAAAACATAGTGTATACATGTTCCCAGACAAAACAGAGTGTGTACATGTTCCCAGACAAAACAGAGTTTGTACATGTTCCCAGACAAAACAGAGTGTGTACATGTTCCCAGACAAAACAGAGTGTGTACATGTTCCCAGACAAAACAGAGTGTGTACATGTTCCCAGACAAAACAACGTGTGTACATGTTCCCAGACAAAACAGAGTGTGTACATGTTCCCAGACAAAACAGAGTGTCTACATGTTCCCAGATAAACCAGAGCGTGTACATGTTCCCAGACAAAACAGAGTGTGTACATGTTCCCAGACAAAACAGAGTGTGTACATGTTCCCAGACAAAACAGAGTGTGTACATGTTCCCAGAAAAAACAGAGTGTGTACATGTTCCCAGACAAAACAGAGTGTCTACATGTTCCCAGACAAAACAGAGTGTGTACATATTCCCAGACAAAACAGAGTGTCTACATGTTCCCAGAAAAAACAGAGTGTGTACATGTTCCCAGACAAAACAGAGTGTGTACATGTTCCCAGACAAAACAGAGTGTATACATGTTCCCAGATAAACCAGAGCGTGTACATGTTCCAGACAAAACAGCGTGTGTACATGTTCCCAGAAAAAACAGAGTGTGTACATATTCCCAGATAAAGCAGAGTCTGTGTACAAAACATTTACATTGTACAGTCAAAATTTTCCTAGGGGGTTTGTTTGCGATAAAAAAAAATTATTGTTAAATTTGTGAAAGTTTATTATGAAATACCATTTTCTGCTAGTACACTCAACGAACTCACCTGTACATTGAAAAAAGAGAAAACCACGTACATTATAGACTTGTCACAACTTCATGGTTCGGCAATAAGATAAAATTTCATTAAGAATCAAGAAGCGTAAATTTTAAATTTCGGGACACTTTACACTTTTAATGGTTCATTGACATTTGATTTTCAATCCTTTTTTTATAGTCGGCGAAATGTCATATATGAACAAGATTGTCTATATATTTGGTGAATTCACATTATGTTTACATTAGATGGTCTCTAACAAGTTTCAGACAATTCATTGTGTATGTAGGTCCCAGTTTGCAAATTTGACAAAAAAAATCATTTTACAAAAATGATGTAATAAAACCGGTTGGGTAATTAACATTTGTAAGGTCACCACGTAAGCCATGTCGCTTCATAAATTGCATGTTAAAATGCTTTTAAGTCATCGTTTGATATGATAAGTTGTTTAATATAATTGTTATTTTAGTTCCATACCAGTTTTGTGATATCAACCATGTAAAACTTAATTCCTTCATGTTGACGGTTAAGGACAATTAGACCCAGCCATATGATAAGCAGCATTAATACATGTATATATATAAGACATCGGAAGCTGAAAACAACTTCGTCATTGACAGGATTATAAAAATCAGTCGCTGTTATCTGTTGTAGGAATCAGAAAAGTTGTTTACATATGAAAACTTTCGAGATGCAGCCAAGCATAACTCGTGTACATGTTTGTCAGCTATAATATGATGCTGACCTATATTGCTTAAATGATTTATTTTCAATGACATACGACAAATCATCTAAAAGGGAAGGAAAGCCACTTAAGCTTTCAGTTTGTGAAATGGGTACCACTGTTTTATTAACATAGATTAGCGAATAACTGCTTTACTGCAGAATTAAAATAGGGATCTATATGGCTTCGAGATTTTTTTTTTATTTCACCCAGATAAATCAAAATGAAATCACCCAATCATTAGGACGGAATCTCAAGCTACGAGTCTATTTTAACTACTGGCAGTTAAAACTATTCCCAATGTACTTATGTTGAAGAGTCGTATATAACTTTCATTTTACTACTGCTACGCTTTCTGTGTAAAGAAAAAAGTTATTGACGGTTCGACATCGACGTTAAGAGCTGTTGTACATTTTATCTGGTAGCTTTAAGCTGCACCTGGTTGTCAAATCAAATTGCTGTAAATCTATTTAACGACAGGTAGTATCATTAAAATGCTGTATGTGTTCAGAATAACTTATTTCGCCATTTTGATTTAAACATTAGTGGAAACGTCACGGATCCTTTTTGGGGAGCTGGTATTTTGCAACGAAGACAAGCGGCTGTCACTAATTTTTTTTGAATTTCAGTGCATCATATATTATTTCCTTGATCTTACATGCATAAATATTGAACGACTAAATACGCACGATAGTAGAATTATTCACATATGAGACGTGATATCATTGCATTCAGGAAAAAGCAGTCAGAGTGTACACGGGCTGGGCACGAATTCCACATCCAGAGTTACCGTGACTTTTAATTTTAATAATTAACTAGGAAGTCTTAGTTTTGTAACATACCATTGGGAAATAGAACGTTTTATATCGTTTTCTCATAGTGTCGTTTAACATTATAGTCGCTTTAACATGAATATTGTGGGATACGAAATATTGTTGCAACAGGGAGTTTGAAGAGAGAGGACTGGTTTACAGCTAGATTTCAAGGAAAAATCATTTGAGGTTAAAATCAATAAGATTATATCTTGGTTATTGGTTTCAAAGTAACAGAAAACTTATTTTTAAAATATCCTTAACACGGGCTAGTGAAGATGCGTCGTGCTTTTCTTGGGTGTACGATAACGAAGCGAAATGTGTCAAATATATAGATATTAGTTATCTTTCAATAGATATGATATCTTTACTATAGTATAGATATCACGATGAAACACATGTAACAGTCTCTCCTAGTGAGACGATAGACTAAGGTACATGTATACCGATAATGGCGAACTCCGAGTCGGTATATGTCAGTGTATTATTGCTTGTTTGTGTTGTGGTTTTCTGGTACCACGGTGTTGAAGGTAAGTTCATTGTTGTAAATGTAAAATTGTCATGTTAATTCTTGAGAAGAGGTCTTTGCAGGTCAAATTTTAAATTAATATCACTTACTTACACAGGGTACTACTTAAAAAGACATAAATCATCGGATGAAAAATCTTACCGTTTAAAATTTTTGAAGCTGCTAGATTTCTTATGTCTTGTATCAAATGCCCCTTAATGTTTATCTAAAAGTAGTATCAAAGCTATGTAATCAGCGTGGTTGTGTTAAGACGTGTAATGCACCTGGTCCCACGAGTTGACTTTTGTATACAAATGTATTGATTTCTATAAGATGTAAAAATAACAATTGATGTTTATCAAAACTGTTTGAAAGTTTCATTGTTAACTGGAGACATCAATGTTAAACTAAGTAAAAACAAAAACAAAAACTAAAACGCTACAATATCAGCAGATGCTTTACGGTTCGTCCGTGACCCGTACGTACACAATTAGAAGTACCGGATGGATTGTTTTCAAAGAGGTAAGGCACGTAGCGATGCCTGTTCACCTACTTCAGTTGTTAATGATCGAAGTAGACCTTTGTGGTTTTAATGCTTGCGTCTAAATCGGAACTAAATTTCCTAATCTGCAATATCAAGTACGTAAGCTTTTATTCTGAATGTGGCCGTCTGACTATTGACCTTTAACCTTGACTGATGAACACGGAAACCTTAGATGATGTAGAACTTGATTTTATATTATAGCGTGAATATACGGATCTGGTGAATATCTTTCGTGAGAAATATTATGTAGGTAATGTTTGAAAAGGGGAAGGCGGCTACAGTTGCCTCCCTTGCGCCTGTTTTTCTTCTTTTTTTTTTCAGATGCGGATGATGGATTGTAAATTCATTAATCAAAAGTTTAAAAGAAAAAACAAGTTTTCTTGTTTGATTGGCATGATATTTATCTTAATCTTTGTATTCCCTCAAATAAAACACCAACCAATCCGCATTATCTTCACCAATATTCTATCAAACTAATCATAACCATTTTCGTCAAAATTGGACGGAATGGTGTTGTAGGGTGTTTCAAGCGAATACATATCTAAGCATATCACCAGATATAAAAAATAAACGAATAAGAAATAAACTCTGGAAAAAAGTGGAGAATCTGAAGGAATTAAATAGATTTTCAGGGCATTCCCACGGTAACAATATACAGAAACTGTTTGTTCCACCTAATGTAACGACTCAGTTGTGTTATCTTGAGAGAAAACCTTCCGGGAATGGCCTGACCGTTTCAAACTTGTTATATAGTACATCCCTTCATTCCAGCTGACCACGTGAGCTGCTCTCCTCGATACTTCGGTCATGGCTCCATTGTGTGTGTATGTAATGCAACCTACTGTGATACAGTGGAAGCAAACACACCCCTGCCACGGCAGATGTTCGCACGGTACCAATCCACTCAGACAGGTGAACGATTTAAAAAGTCGACGGGCAAGTTCGATTCAATACACACAGAGAAAAGTAAGTAATCCCGCGACTCCGCAATGCAAATTCGAAATTAGAAATACCAACATTACTATGGCTTTGGTTATAATTGTTTATAATTTCTTAATGTGGAATAATTCCAGTTGTGATGTACGTTTTTCGGACAAACCAGACGAGATACCAGAATATCAAAGGTTTTGGAGGGGCTTTTACAGACGCTGCTGGGATCAATATTGCCAGTCTCTCAACAAAAGCACAGGATAATCTTCTCCGATCCTACTTCCACTCCAGCGGTATAAAAATAAACTTTTACTCGTACCTGAAGAAAAAATAAGGAATATCTCCAACTTAAATTAAGTATTTTTTCATAAATGAAATATGAATTTAGGAATCTGTGCTATTGGGATATCTTGACTTCCTTTGACTTGATCGTAGTACTATATTCAATCATTCATCAAGACCTGACGGCAACAGGTTATTTATTTATTTAATTATGTCTCCATTCTTTTCTCGACAGGTATTGAGTACACGGTGGCCAGAGTGCCAATGGCAAGCTGTGATTTCTCCACTCGAGAATACTCTTACGACGATACAGCAAATGATTTCAACTTAACCAAGTTTTCTCTGGCACCAGAAGATCTCAAATATAAGGTAGTTCTTGTACTATATTTGTATCACATTACATCTATGCTAACATCAAAAAAAAGGACGCTGAGAGAAGCACTATTGAAACCCCTATTGAAATAATGTTCAAAATTGAAATTTTATTTCAATAGTGAAAAACATTAATGCAATAGTAGTGGCAGATTCCATTAAAATACGGCTACAATTGAAATAACGTCAACTCTATTGAAGTAATATTTCAATAGTCAGCGCATCATGCGATATCGCCGTTTTGGTTCGACAACTGTTGAAATGATTTTCATCAATCATGAAAATACTAATCTAGTTTTCTTGATTTATAAAACAAATCTTGTGATTCACAACATTTGTTTACAAATAAGGTTTACTTTTTTCCTCTTTCCATTTCGTCCTTGCGAAATCAGACGGTCACGCGGGTTATTTTTAGATGCGGAACTATCGGTCACTCTCAGTAATGCAACTGTGTAATATTTCAAAACCAGATTTTTTTACCTATTTATTAAAGATATTCCGAATGAGGAATTAAAATCTGTTTGTCTCTGACAGATTCCATTTCTCCAGAAAGCTATTTCCTTGGGACGTCCGGTGCGCGTGTTCGGCAGTCCGTGGAGCGCCCCCGCCTGGATGAAAACTGATCAGTCTATGACAGGAAAGGGGTCACTTATTGGTCAGCCTGGTGGACAGTATTTCAAAACGTGGGCCCTGTATTTCGCAAAGTAAGTATTATTTCGAATATCAGTTTTTTCTATGATGTGAATACAAGTATTTATCTGAAACCATTATACAGAATTGAACGAACTACACTTGACATGATTTCTCTACACCAATTGATTATGCAGATAATGTTATCAATGATAACTGTTATTTTTACTTAAAAGTAAAAACCATTCTTGAATAAGTTTATTTATCGCACCTCGGACTAGAATGTCCTAAAATCATTGGTCGAGAGACGTTACATGGTGACCAACTATAATTCTCTAGTGGGACACTTTGTCCCGTTAGATGGCACCACGTGTTTTATAGGGGGTCACTTTGATTTAATGGGGCCGACCACGTCAACCGCTTCGGAAAATGAAGTGTGTTTTACTTTACAAAATCGCCTCTTCGGTCATGATGTTGAATACATAGAGCCATAGAGGGTCAGTAAGTGACTATCTAACTTATATTGTTAATCCAAGTAAAAGAATTGATACAAATATATGGTATACTAATTTGATATGGCAGAAAATAAGCATAGACAAGACGTTTATACATGACACATATAATTCTATTGAAAATCCAAAGTTATATATGAAAAGGGTAGATAACTCTATGTCTAATTCGGATCTCCATGACGTATCAATGATATGAACTGCCTTACCGTCAGATTTATTGAAGCGTATGCGAGTCACAATATTACGATTTGGGGATTAACTGCCCAGAACGAACCATCAGACGGGAGAATCAAGAACTTCACGTTTCAAGCCATGGGCTGGACCGCGGAGCAGCAAAGAGATTTTATAGTAAAAGATCTGGGCCCTTTGTTGGAGGAAAGGGGCCACGGAGCTGTGAATATAATGATACTGGATGGTCAACGAGTCTTATTGCCCTACTGGACTTTCGTGGTATGAGAATTTCATTTAACTTAAGTAAACATATTTTTATAATTTTGTTTTTCATTCTGTTCTGTGATGTGTGGTGATTCAGTGTGATCGTTTTCATTTGTGATGTTAATTCGTGACAAAGAAGAAATTCAGTGACACACATGGAAATATGTGCTGAGAAAAAGACACATCATTAGATTTGTCGATCATCTTTAAGATGTGTATACGAGTCTGTCTTCAAATATGTAAGACTTTCACTTTTTATAACAAAATTTTCCCAAATGTATGATACTGGTATGTTGGTTCAAATATTCTCATTATTGGAATTTCTCAACAGCTTTGTACATTGAAACCATTAAATTTGATCCCTGTGTGATTTTTTTTCCGGAGAACGTTTTGTTAGGTTGGCTGTGAAATATTACATTACTGCATGATGCTTACAGAAGGGTATTGTGTTTTAGTTTTTTCAAACACAAAGCGCAATGTGATTTTTATCTGTAAACCACTGTCATTTATAGTTACCATAAACGCCTTATCACGAGAGTTCAATGCTTATTTACATCTCCTACGTATATTCCTGTCTAATCTGATCTCAAATAAAATACATCCACTCTGTACAGTATAGAGGACCAGTCGTTGTTGTTTCCATGCCCACCATGATAACGTTATGGTCACTCACTGGTGGACATTTATATTACTTAATCACAATAATTTCTGGTTAGTTTGTATGAAGACAAAACCATTCCAATCAAATATCATGATGGTATGGTACATGTAAAATGTATTTTTTGTACAAAGGAGGGTTATCCTATCGCATTTTACAATACTTTACAACTTCTGTGAAACCATTCACCAGGTACTGTCTGATCCAAATGCGCTGAAGTATGTATCCGGTATCGCCGTTCATTGGTACCTCGACAATTTGGTCCCACCAACATTTCTAGATTACACACATGGTAAATACCCCGAACAATACATCTTCGGAACGGAGGCCTGTGCTGACGGACTTCCTGGCTCTCCGTTACAGGCAGTCCGACTCGGAGACTGGTCTCGAGCCGAAAGCTACGCCAGGGATATACTCGAGGTACGCTTTCCATATTGTTTTATAAACCTGGATCCTGTTACAGAGAGATAGATTGTAAAATGGGACAGATATTTATGTTTCACTTAAATGCACCCCTTTTCCACGACATTTGACATACGTATCATCACTGCTAAATTCACTAAGCATGTGCCTAATTGACAAGTGAAATTTGTCCCTCTACTTTTCCTTCTTGTAAAAGTCTCATTGCTTTCAATATTACCAAGCAGAGTGATCTCGCTTGATAGGCATGTAATATCTGGTGTCATAAGCATGCCTAGCCGAAACTGACCAATTGTTTATTTCTTTAATGGGTTATTGGCCTTAGTATTTTGGCTAACTAATAGAGGTCTACATATTCTTTGATATATCTTGACAAAAATTTTTCGAAAAATCAAATCACAAACATAATTTACTTATATTGCTTTAAAACTATACCTATTATATTACAAATTTCAAACAAATGTGCCCAGTGTAAACAGCCACTAAATGTTTGTCCCCAGGACCTTGGGCACTGGGTGACCGGTTGGACAGATTGGAATATTGCTCTAAATATGGAAGGGGGTCCAAACTGGGTCCGAAACTTTGTGGACAGCCCTATTATTGTAAACGCAGAAAACGACGAATTCTATAAACAACCAATGTTTTATGCCATGGGACACTTCAGGTGAGCTTTATTACAATGTAAGCCGTGTCGATATAATGCCTTTTGTCAGTTTGATGTATGACGAGTGGAATTTTCATTTTGTTCCACGATCAATATTAAGAACTCTTATCAGATTGTTTTCTTTGTTTAAGTAAATTCTTGCCTCCTGGATCTACGAGAATATCCCTGTCTATATATGGTTCTACACCTCTAAAGTGTGAGGGATTTCTACTTCCGGATAACTCCGTCGTCATCATTATACTGAATATGTAAGTACAGTGTATATACAACGAAATCCATAGTCATAAAAAACAAGACCTAATGCATATTTGTTCTAAAGAAGGCAATTCAGGTCAGTACTTACTTATGAAAGATTGCATCAAAGAGACCGTGTAGCTTTGGAACAGTGTTCAATCTTTAATTTTCTGAAATTAGAAATCCAGCTGGTTTTCATTTTCATACTTTTTCAGGTCTGATGAAGAAGTGACGATAAGCGTCTACGATAACGAGATTGGTTCTATAAACGGCAACATGATTCCCGCCCATTCTCTTCAGACGATAACCTATTGGACAACTTAGGCTATGGGCGTAACTTTCAATATAGAATACCATTTTGTTTTAATTATAGAAAAGATGTTTGGATGTAAATAATATGTTTATATACATATATATACGATATGAAATATATCTATATCTACGCGCGTGCATGATGTTAACAATGACCACAGGCATTTCTAGTGAGCTCTGCATCCATGCGAAGTTTTCGATGAGCTTTTTTTGATAAATCGAAACGTCATATACTAAACCATTGCATACATTTTACTTGAGTGTATTGTCGTGATGACTTCCATATAAGTAATGCTTACTGAATATGTCCACTTTTTTTGTATAATAAATACAACAAGTACATATAATGTTCCATCATCTCGGAATAAAAACCAGATTTATTCCACGAGCTCGAAGAAATACGTGTGAGCGCTACCTTCATATTGTATCATGCTCGTGAAATACACGAGTGACGAGTTGTTCGAAGAAGCACGTGTGAACACTAACTATATATTATACCATGCTCGTGAAATACACGAGTGACGAGTTGTTCGAAGAAGCACGTGTGAACACTACCTATATATTATACCATGCTCGTGAAAGACACGAGTGACGAGTTGTTCGATGAAGCACGTTGGAACACTACCTATATATTATACTATGCTCATGAATTATATGCAATGTCGAGTTGTTCGAAGAGGCACGTGTGAACACTACCTATATATTATACCATGCTCGTGAATGAAGCACGTGTGAACACTACCTATATATTATACCATGTTCGTGAAATAAATAGTGACGAGTTGCCACCCCCTCCCCCCACGTTAACAGTATTGCTGTCGTCTGCAAATGATTACGTGTAATGGATGAATTAATAGGTTAATAGGTCTTAGTCCGGAGTGATTCTGACTATTGCAGTTTTATTTCTGTGGTGTCAATCTCGAGAGAGATATTCCCTGTATGAAAACACGAAGTTTGAACTACCCGTGTATCGGTTTCTAGCATAGTTCACAACAAGATGCTCATTATCTAGAAATATCAGCTGGATAGTAAAGTTGTTGGGGAAAATGAATGGGACTACTTGGTTACAACATCATATTGCTTTTAACACACGTGTGGGTAGATATTTTTATCTTTCAAACGATATTTGATTCCTATGTATCGCTCTGTTGTATATTATGTAAAACATTGCTGATTTATACACGGGTCACTAAAAGATCGTGTTTTACAAAAAAACGAAATAGTCAGAACCCTTCGGACCAGCTGTCTATTTGGATTTTGATGGTAACTTATACGCCCAGCCTCATTCTCAGCATCCTGTTCATCCCCCTCCTTCCCCCACCCGGAAACCATTATTATCCTGTTGGTCCACGCAGAGGACATGGATGACATGTATCAGCCAATGGACGACCAACAGCCGCTCCCTCGAGTGGTCAATATCACATGCCAGACCCCCGGAGTGACAGTCGCCCCCGGTAGGGAGACGCGACAAGAGGTCAACCCCTTGACCGTGATAAACCTTTATGGTCAGATAAACCAAAAGTTACTCTCAAGTTTACTTTTCTCAACGTTTGTGGTATTAAGTCTAAGATATTCTTACCTGAATTTGAAAACTTTATCCTAGAACACGATGTACTTGTTTTTGCGGAGATTAAGATTGACACGCTGGATCATATTCAGTTACCTCCCGGGTATGACTATTTTACTAAATGTAGAATTAATGTACACAAAAAATCTGGTGGTATTGTAATTATCTTAAAAAAAAAACTCTCAAGTCGATGTTAACCTTCCCTAAAACTGATTCAGAATATGCATTGTGGGTAAAATTTTCAAAGTGAATTATGAGGTCTGATGAAGATTTCCTATTGGGATGTGTGTATATCCCTCCCGAAAACACTTAGTATGCATCCCCTGAAGCTTTCAATGACATTGAAAAGGAGATGATAAGATTATCTCAAAAGGGTAACAAAGTCGCTATAGTTGGAGATTTTAATGCCAAAACACAAGTTAAAGAGGATTTTGTAGAACCAGAAGATAATTTTATCCATTCATTAAACCTAGATGAAAATGAAGAATTATACTCGTACCTTTATGATTTTGAAAAGTTGAAAATATACAATATTTCTTTACATAGGGCTAGCCAATGTAAAGCGAAAGTCAATAATTATGGTAATACATTACTTGATTTCTGCAGGCAAAACAATAGGTATATTTCCAATGGTCGGATTGGAAAGGATGCAAAATTAGGAAAAACTACATGAAGTGATGTTAGTGTTATCGATTAATCGATTATCGATTAATTATAATAACAAATGTCAGGAGAGTGGAGCTGTATATACCGAATGGAAAACCAGTAAGGAACAACATTTTGTAAAACATTCTGGCTGATGAAGCGGGTAACCTACAAAGAATTAATGATAGATTAAATGAATTATTAAGTAACCAACAAGATGATGTAATAAAAAAAAGATATCAATGACATTGTAAATTCAATTAGCGAATTGTTCAAAGGCTCCGCTAAGCAGGTTTTGGGTATCAATAAATCTTACAGGAAACCGAATTCTAGGTGTGATAGTACACCCTGGTTTAACAAGGAATGCTGCTTAAAAAGAGTGGAATTTAATAAAGCCAAGGCTAGATTTCACAAAGTAAATAATTCTGTAAATAAAACTAACCTAAACAGAGCTAGTAAAGTGTACAGGAAAACTTTGAATAAAAGTTATAGAAATTATGAGGAGAAATTGTCAGATGCGATGAGAAAATCTGCTAGAATGGATTCAAAAGAATTCTGGATTATTTTGAATAAATATGACGGGTCTGTAAAGAAAGGTAATGCGGATATATGTATTACTGAATTATATGAAAACTTTAAGGGTCTGGACAAGTCTGTTTGTGATGATGAGGATTTAGAACTAGAAAATCCTGTTGTTAGTATTTTTGATGATTACTTGAATAATGAAATTACAACCGAAGAAATCAAGTTATCTTTAATTAGTTTAAAAAACAATAAATCCCCTGGTATAGACCAGATTATAAATGAATATCTTAACAACAGAAATATGGGGTTTTGAAAATACTAATATTATAGAGAAAATCCATATGCACTTTTGTAAAAGTATACTCAATGTAAGAAAAGGCACAGCTAATTTCATTGTTTATGGAGAGCTGGGTAGATACCCATTATATATTGAAATAAAATGTAGAATAGCATTATTTTGGCATAAGTTGATTACATCTAATAAGTTATCAAGTAATATTTATAAGTTAATGTACACATTACAAGAAAATGGAATTGTGTCATTTAAATGGCTCTCATATGTCAAGGATATCCTTTTCCAAACGGGTCTAAATTATGTTTGGTATTATCAATCTACATGTTCTTTTTCAAAAGATGAAATTAAGAATTTGGTGAAAAATAGACTTAAGGATCAATTTATACAGAAATGGTTTGATGACATTCTAAACTCCTCTAGGGGACAAACATATTCTATTTTTAAGACAAAGTTTGAACAAGAAAAACATTTAACCAAGCTTAATACCATTGATAGAAAAATTATGTGTAAATTTCGTTCTTCAAATATGTGTTTACCGGTTGAAACAGGAAGATTTAGTTTAAACAGATTTTATTGCCAAAATGAATTTGAACAAGGGTATTAGGCACAAGTTATTACAACTTATTGGAGCCCTCTCCCATCATGCATTTTCTAATACATGCTTATAAAGATATAGGCTTAAACATAAATTATACATATTAAGCATTCACACACAGACATAAATACATCATCGTATAAGAATCTTTTAAAACCTTTTGCTGGATTTAATGAAATTTTGCACATGTGTAAAGACAAAATAGTTTAGGTCCTCAGAAAGATCAATACTACCAAACAAAAGAAGCTCTAAATTCAAATCTACGTCTAATTCAGCCAGATTATGAAACAAAGTGCGTCTTTCATTTCTGAAAGTTTGACACTCAAACAAGTGAAAGGCATTCTCACAAGGATGTCCACAGGAGGAAACTGGATTTTCAGCAAGATTTACTCGATAAAGATCGTATTTAAGGGAACTACAACTGTGTCTAAGTTTAGTATGTATTACGTTTAACTTCCGTTCACCATAACTAAATCAGATAGGTGGGAATTGTTGTGTATTAAAAGTAAGTGAGGTTTTAAACACATTTATGGAAGGCAGTGACCGTACAGAGAAATCTAACAAATTCCAGCTACGAAGCGTAGAAGGTATAAAAGAGAGTTTTGTAAGAGAAAGCCCAAATAATCATTGTTATTTCTAAGATTGTATCGGTTATTATCTGCAACAATAGGTGGCAAGAGATCGTTTAAACAATCTGGAGTTAGCTTGTTATGCATTTTGAATAAAAGTAGTAGAAGTTTTCTTCGTTTTCGATGATTCGAAAGTGTATCTAAACCGGTTTCAAAATGTAAATCTTCTATACGTGCATAAGAAGGAAGGCCAGTTATAATACGAGTATTAGTGCAACTGTCCCACAATGCACACGCATACTCTAAAATTGGTAAAATAAAAGCTTTGTAAATTTTTAAGAGACTATTTCTATTTAACAAATATTTCAACCTTCTTAAGACATTGATTTGAAATATATATGTAGCATTGATATGATCTCCCCATTTTGCGCTGGAATTAAAATTTACCCCCAAATGCCTATGATGATCAGTAAAATTCAAATCTTTCTCGTCTAACTTCATGTCTAAATCATCACCTATGTCAATCGAATTAGAAATAAATATTACTTCAGTTTTGTGTGGATTGAAAGTAACCAACCACGTTTTAGCCCAAAAGTTTAAAGAATCAAGATCCCTATTTAAGACAGTTTGGATTTCAAGACATGATGAGGAAGACTTTAATAAAGAAGTATCGCTGCAAAAAGACGAGCAGATGATCCAAAGACATCGGCAATATCATCTATGTATATAAGAAACAAAAGGAACCCCTGCTGAGTTTGAACCTAATTGAGAATAAACACTATTTAGGAAAAAAATGCTGCCTATTAAATACATAATTTTCTAATTTTAAATTTTACCATGCCAAACATAAATATAATATCACAGAAAACCATATATACATGTTTTTTTCTCTTCAAGAGCAATACAAATACTGTGATAAATTTCAATGAGCTGATATACAGTCGAATGCGCATGCATAAAGCCAGACTGGTGTTTATAAAACAATAAATTTTCTACGTAATAATTATGTAGATGTTTGAAAATAACACGCTCAAAGACTTTTCCAACAGTAGATAGAAGAGAGGCAATTAGATAATCGACATGTAGACACAGGCAGACAGTCATACAGTGGTTAACATAATTAAACATAACATATGTACAATAATGATAGTTACCTGTAGTACGAGTCATGACAGAACGACGTGGTACAAAGTGATTCTGTGAGAACATTAAAGAAAATGAGAGATTACGATACTATTGTGAGTTGAAACGAAATTGGATACTAACAGATTGGTAAGGTAAGCTGATACAGGAAGATGGACAGGTATTCCTCGTCAAGAAAGATTCTACACATTATGTAATTCGACATCGGAGACGAATATCACTATTTATTTAAATGGGAAAACGAATCAGTAAAACGTCTAAGAGAAAAATATATACCAAAATATTACTTACCCAAGTCATATCAAAATGGAAGGATTGTTTAACATATTCAATGTTAAAAACATTTACAAAAATTTGTAGATTTATAGAAAAACTTGATAAATTGTTGATTTAAGTGTTCAAATTTAAATACCAAATTGTTAATACATGAATGCGATAGTTAACAATTATTACTATCATTTACAGAAATTGTTGTAATTGTACCTGTCATACGCCACGTATCATGTACATTATATGTCTGTGACCTCTTGTTACACACGTAAGTGTGTCAGAGTGACTGAATAAAACCTTGAAACCTTTAATGAAATAGATTTAGTCCCTTCATATATACAATACTAGGCACTAGTGTATTCCATATGGCTTTGTTATTTTAATATATGACCTGTTATATGGACATATTACAGGCGGACTCCGTGCTCAGACGATTAAGTGAAACATTCTGTCATAAAGGGATATTTGTGACCGCTAAATACGTGACTTTTTTTTTTATATCAATCGTATTTTTTTATCTTTCGTGCGTCGCATTCTTAAGACGACAATTACCGGTACCCCAAGTAACTGAAGAGACCTGAGAATTTGTAACAGTTCATATGCCCTCACCAACCTGTTTATAACGTGTTTATAGCTTTAATCGACCTCTTCATTTATCCCCCTCCTTTTTAGAACGAGGGAAGGGGTTAGACAAATTCCCGGTAAACACACGTCTATGCTGTTCCATGAAACCGCTTACCACCTTCTAATAAGATTGTTTCACATTCTCAAGTCCTTGTGTAAGTAACGGTTGTTTCATGCTGTCAAGCTAAATATATCTAAATTATGTCGACTCAAGAGCTTTGTCGTGTATATTCACATCTAGATAATTCAAATTGATAGGTCACATATAGTTTCTATATACAGGTAACTCGTACATTTAAAAATGAAATCAGAAAAAAACATGGTTTAATAAAATCTGTATTTGCAAGTTATCGAGATGGAAACATAACACCACCCCCTCCCAAAAAAAGCAAAAACAAAAACAGAAAAAGAAGATTTGAGTGCAAAATGATAAACCCCCCCATCCCCATTAACAGAGATAATGAATATTCTCGGTAGTGGTTCCTATAATATACAAGTATACACCCACTGTCCTTTGTTATAACGTGTGTTTAATAGATAAGCAAGCTGCCTATCTGTGGATAAAATGTTTATTAGATAATTCCTGATCACATTTATTTGAGACTGTTTATTAATGTTAAATGCATATCTAAAAAGACATTCTGAAAATAGATTCCACACCGAAAAAAACATGAGTAAAATGTGAAAGCCAAACAACTGTCCTCAACTGTTCATACGTAGATCAACATCCGATGTTTACATTTGTAACAACCGATTCTACTGTATAGCATTGATATCCTTGAATGGCTACTGCATTTGGTGGCTCGTAGCCTGTTTATTTAAAAACGCGCACACACAGGCAGGGCCGACGAGGAGGACATTTATATGTTAATTCTGATCCGGATATGTTGTCGATATTATACTCTATTATGGGAAATTAATCAAAAAGTCACTTTTAAGAAGATCAGGGAGACACACCAGCGTCCCACAACAAAAACAGCAGCACCAGCATCAACAACAACGATATAAACAAGGGAGATATACACACTTGTACAGAGATAATGATGTCACACCGGTACTATTCTCACCTGTGGATGCTATCAATGCTTACGATATCAACGTTTACGACAGGTAAGTGTAGTTTTGTGTTTACATATTACTGACAAGAATACTTAATACCTATTACTTTACAATTTCAGATATGAACTTTGCAGTTCATTGAATTCGTCTCAAGACCAACTCAATTCATCATCCCATGAAATCGACATAGTTGTTAAGCGACCTTCACATTGAATTACCGGTAGTGGCAGGTAAACTACCACTGTTTGGGATCTTACCGCGCCAGGTTTATTTAACTGAAACCGAGTTAGGGTATCCATTATTACATATTTCTTGGTATCGATTGCGTAGCCGTGTACAGATTAAAAAAGAAAGACGTTAGATTAGAGTAACCATGATATATGGCATGATATACACACTTTCAGAATTATCTTTTAAATATAATCACAAAGGAACTTTGAATAAATTGAAAAAAGGTAAACATTGATGAAATCTAAACCCTTACATGGCCTTACATTTTCAAACATCAGTTTAAACAAATACCAAAACATTGTTAATAACATTACTTTTGCAACATAAGGGGTGTTGAGGGGTGGGAGGGGAGGGGTGTAATATTGTATCCTTTCATTTTCTTGTAATATCTTTGTGCTATTTAATAATAATAGAAAATGTTCCCATCTTTTTAAAACGTTGAAATCGTCTTCCCTACATACAGCATGCAACATGATGTGAATTGTCAACATACACTGTATACATACGATGGTAACTAACATAAGTCTGATAATGGATTCCATTATGTCTTGCTGATTCGTTGTTTTTCTTTTGAGTTAGATTTTAAAATATTTTCCCCGTCGATATCTCTTTGCAGCAATAAATATACGCATTGTGCCCATTGGTTCGGAGTTACCGCCCTTCTTTGAAGGTATTCTCGAGGTGAACCGTACGGGAAGCTGGCAGATCCTTTGTACATGGGGATTTCGTGACGTAGAGGCAAATATTGCGTGTAAAGAGATCGGATTTGTTGGTGGGATAGCACTTCCGAGGGCTGCGTACGGTCCCTACTCCGGGGCATACACGACGCCATTCAGGGGTTGCAATGGGGAGGAATCTTCTTTATTGGACTGTCGTTTTGAGGGTCAAGAAAGTGAAAACATCTGTCGCAGTCAAAATACGTATTATGCCTCACTACATTGCTACGACGATGTCCCGGTCCAACAAGGTAAAGTAAACTTTACAAACAGAGACTAGCTTTAGCGGAGTAATTCAAATAGATACAATCTTTGCTTTCAATCTTTTATATATTATGTTTCTCTCCTACTCTCATCCCATGTGTTTTAGAATGAGACTTAAAAGACATGAGGAACTTCCGCCTTGTCAATCAGGCTGAGGGTGGGCGGAGTTTGCTAGAGAACTCACTTAGACTTATCACACTACGCTATCTTATTCTATTCCAGTGTTTTTTTTGGTAACGAATGAACAAATGGGTCATAGCTATGTATCATATATTTATCAATATTTTCTGCCTAAAAGCCTCTCGGTGACCGGTTAGTATCTGTTTAATAGAACGATTTAAGTACGGACTTGATGGTTTCCGTCGACCAGATCTATTATCCTCGGGTATGACAGGGTGCCAGAAATTTGCCATATCCATCATCAGGAAGATGCTTTGATCAACCTGTCCATCACAATTCTAATTTGAAAACTTTTGATATGTCATGTTAAGATAGTTAGAGCTCAGCCTCAATCGAGCAGTAATAATATTTGATTTAATAAATGTCTAATTCAAAGTGTAACTTTCCTGTTCAACTTAACATGTAAGTGAATTCAAATCCAGCTTGTAGCAAGTCGGATAATTTTTCATGTTGTCACATAACATAGATGTGACGTCGTGGTTTGTTACATATACGCATCTGTGATTAAGGTATAATGCATCCTAGTTGAAATTCAAAATTTATGGAACGAAGGCAACATATGAGTAAAAAGTAGAGAATTCACCTGACAACCATCTTGAAAAAATACACGTAAGATTCATCTACCACGCCATGCCTATTTAGCCAATCCGTGCAATGTCACGTTCTCAGAGGAGGGCTCATCTGCTACGGTTTCCTGATATAACAATTTAGTTAGTGCCATAGTTGTTTTTAACAAGTTCACAGACAAAGACATCGCCATGCCATTCAATAATGCTATAGTAAAACAAGATTGAGATAAGAGGGAGATGTAGACGATTTTCTCTTATCTCTAATGGATATATTCAATATATCATAAAATTGAATGGCATGGCGAGGTCTTTTGTAAACTTTATGATCATTATTACATATCTGTGTTGTGTAATGTGTAATTGCTAGTTATTTAAACTCACCCACACATATTTCATTTTCTACTCAAATCAGAATCAATGAAACTATTAAATGTGATCCGTTTCATTTACCAATGAATTTGACCAGATTAACATTGCCTTTGCGTATGAAAACAAATATTAGGTAAGGGGAGAAAACTCCCCAACTTCTACTAGACTGGCAATATACCACGAGTATGAGATTTTAAAACATCAGATTCGCAGTTCATTAATTTTTTCTCTAAACAAACTCAATTCATCATCCCATGAAATCGACATAAGCAAGATTCAATCCTTAATGACAGCATTCCAATATTTCGTAGTCCACTGTTAGTCTAACAGCTGGATTTGAGGAATTCAACAACACGAACCTCAGACACTCTGAATACTCAGAACCATGTAGGAAAAAAGGACAACACATATTTTATCAATGAATAGTAAATGTACATTTTCAGTTTGAAAGAAAGCCCGTTTTCATTATCTGTATGTTGATTATACCTGATGTTGTGACATTCATATACATAACTGATCTATTTGTATTAGATATAAATACCTTCTACATATTTCTTTATGGGTTTCGCAAGCCTGAAAGTAAGGATGACCTAGCTTTATACCCTGTGAAGGTGACATTTCAGTGAAACAAAGTAGTTAAATAAAACAATAGTAACGTAAATATTTTTTGTGAAGGCCCTTCTGTAAAGTTGACGAATGAATATCACGGAAAGGTGGCTTACTCGCCGTCCGGCGTTTGGGGTCAAGTTTGCTTGACGTATTGGAATGATGAAGTGGCTTCCGTAGTCTGCAGGGAACTAGGATACAACGGGGGCGTGGCAACAAGGGCAGATTCAACAAACGGTTTTCCTTTCACTCTCACCAAAATGCACTGTCATGGAAATGAAAGTAGACTAATTGACTGTCAGCATATAGTGGATGTTTGTTACGATACTAGACATAGAGCAGCTGCTGTCTGTTACAGATCGGGTGAGTGTGTATTGCAATTACTAATGCATTAGGTAACTTTTATCAAGCAATACCATGACATAAAGGCTGAAGTTCATTTGAAGGCGTATACTTGTTTGGATATAAACTCAAGGGATAAAGAAACACAGGGTGAAATTATTTGCAATATTTTGCTAACGCGTTGTTCAAAATCAATGAAAATCAGTCAGGCAATTATCTAGGTTACAGTGCACATGGTCCTGTATCGAATGTTGCATCATTGTATTGCGTGACGATGTCTTACGGGAAAAGTACAAAACGGGAAAATCTCATGCACAGTGTTGTGACATTGAGTTACATTGCTCGTCATACCACTAGGTAGTCTTCATAGATATCTTTGTCATGAAATGCTGCCCAATTTGATATCCTATCGCATTTGCATTGTCAACCTACAGGAATATCCGTGCGTCTAGAGGATGGAGACGGAAGAAGTGGTAGAATTGAGATAAAATATGACGGAGTCGATGGATTCTTGGCATTTTGTGGTTTAAGTGAGTCTGGAGCTGCAGACAGTAAAACTCCATCTTATATATGTCAGACACTGGGGTATGCAACTGGTTCATTTATAGGGTAAGTACAGCGTATGTGTGAAATGTCTGCTAGATTTTGAAGTTGATTTACAATAGCTTTACGTGACATTATATATAGTCTTTAATTAGTGACAAAATAAACCAAGCGATCATTTAACTACAAAGAATTATAAACATATTCGTTACTTCGTAATTATCACTCCCTTATTGTTAGTAATTTTATTTACGATCTACAGAGAAAACCGACCACGACTTTGAACTTTTGTTGACGTGTTTGTGTTTATCTATTAATTGTGTTATATATGCATGTAATCTTAACTATGATTTATAATTAATAACGCCTGCAGATCAAAGAAAAATCACGTTTGGTGAAAACTCTTTTTGTTATATTAACAAAACTTCTAAAATAATGTGAAGCGGCATGATTCGACGGTTTTATAAATTCTATTGTAGCCGTAAGCGTATACAAACAATGAAGTTGATTACGAAATCATCAAATGCAGAAATACCCTGAAATAAACAAATATTTACGATTGATAAATAATGAAAGAAATATCATCACTATCCAATTACAGAATTAGTTTAGTGTTTTTATCTTCCCTTACTCATCTTTTCAGTTTCCACACTTATGTTGCTATATACTCAACGTGTTTCTTTGTGACAAGTTTAAACTGATGTTGGACTGTTACACCTTATACTATAAACGACAAAAATAAACCACTGGTTTTGGAAGAAGTTTAAGTAGGTAGATGTAGCTATTTGCGTGAAATATATTCAGCTACAATAAAAAATATCGTCAATCGCGTCAAAAGTTTACCTGCACATGTCACCATTTAAACTGAAAGTTAAACCAGATACCCGTGGATGTGTCGTGTGTTGTAGATCTGCGTAATATTTAATTGGAAGATATTTATGAAAGAGATTATAATTTTATCAGAAATACAGCTTCACAAGGAGTCATTTATTGGGCTATTGAGGAGTGCTATGAAACTGATAACAGTATATTCATGTGTCGGAACAAAGGATGGCTTCCAGACAAGATGTCTAATTGCTACGCTGATAAAAACATAGTGGCCGTGTCATGTGATATAGGTGGTAAGTATGATCGTGTTGGTTTTGTTAGACATATGATGTTTTGATACACAATATTGCATCATGAAAATTTTTTTTAAAAACCCCGCTGTAGCCGAGTAGCCTCTAACCAAAACAATGTCGAAAGTAAACCCGGTTAAACCGTAAATGGAATTCAGTAACCGCTTGAAACTTATTTAACTAAGATAAAGAAGCACATCAATGCTAAATGAACCAAGAAGCGAGCAGTCATTAACATAAAAGAAATTAAGACAGTATGAAGCATTATGTGTTTATATGTGAATATTTCGATTTAATACATAGATTTTAATTATTTCACAGTAATTAGTTATACGGAATAGGTTTCCATGCATTTATCGTCTATAAAACAAATTCAATTCGTACGTATATTTATTCAATTTTCAGTGAATTTATTAGGAGGTATAGACACCATTAATGTTACCATGGGAATGGTTGAAATGTTTACTTCTAAGAAATGGACAACCGTTTGCGCACATGATTTTGGTCAAACAGAGGCTACGGTAGTTTGCCGCCAATTGGGATTTGCAGAAGCACAAGTTCTACTTCCGGATATGTTTGGGCGCTTTCGATTCGTAACGTTCGCAACTGAATTGGCCTGTATTGGAAATGAGACTTCTCTGAATGATTGCACGCATACAACTGGCACTTGTCTGTTTTCAAGTAAAGCAAGTGTGTTGTGTTCTAAAGGACGTGTATCTACAGGTGATTTATTTTTATTTTATTTCATGATATAAAATCACAACAAAGGCAGCAAGAACACAGAATTATACATACATATACAGTCGCTGATTCTATTTTGGTTCTTCTGTCGTTGCGAAATTTTCATTGAAATTATTCACATATTGTAAATGAAAAAATCAAAATTTCATCTGTTTTACAGGTTTTTTTTATACCCTTCTGTTGTAGATTTCAAAGCATATCTATCCCATGACAGTTACGGTACTGTTTTGATAGAGAAATACGGACTGAATGGAACAGTGTGTCGATATGGGTGGGACGACCACGACTCTCAAGTACTGTGTAAACAACTAGGATACCATGGAGGCGTTGCTCTTGGTACCAAGGCCGTAACAACCCGGTATAACCCCATATGGTTGTCAGCTGTCAATTGTACCGGTCAGGAAAATACCATTCTAGATTGTTTTTCCGACTTATCCATTGATCCGAAATGTGGAAAACAGCTGTCGGCTGCTGGATCCCTATGTTACGACGACATAGGTATTGTGTAAAAAAAAACCTCTTAGATATATGGATTAATTGCTAGTAAGATGAACACACGTATCTAAAAAAATATTTGAATTATCATAAACTCCATCAATTTTTGGTGTGTAGACATTGAAGAGCGTCGCAAGTTGATCAACAACATTAATAGTAAAAATAATATTACTGTCGATATTGAGGAAAATGAGTGAGAATAATGTGACAAGGAAAGTGTTGATACACACATTAAAATATTCTTTAGCATTAAAAAAAGTAATAGTGTTAGTCGACTGTAATGTCAACGTAGTTATTCTGAGACTTAAAACTAGCATATACGTGAAATTAACGTACATTAACAAGGAAAACTTCTGGTTCTGTGTTAAAGAACCATCCGTAAACCTAGTCGGTGGCAGTGAATCTGGTCACGGAACGGCTGTAGTGACGTACGCTGGGATTTCTGGGACAATATGTGACAATGGATGGTCAGGCAATGATGCAAATGTGTTGTGTAGGCAACTAGGTTTTCCGTATGGAATTCCTACCATTAAAGTAAGTATGATATTCATTCAAAGAAAAAGCGAAACATGAAGGAATTGGCTTCATTTTGTTTTTATGGAACGAAGTTAAAGTAGTTTTTGATATTTGATTTGTAAAAATTAATTCCAGAGTTTGAAAATAATCAAAAGGATTATAAAAGTCAAGAGAAGTTATTTAGTTAGTTATGAACGTGTTATCGGAATAAAAACGCTACTTCGTTGTAAGCTGATGATATTTGATTCTTTATCCCCAGAAATTAACAAATAAATCATGGGTTATTAATAGTAACTTAGTTTTACATTTATGAATAAGTTCGTCACGTAAAAAACATTTTTTCGAATGGAAGCTTGATACATTTTGTATATATACATCACATGTCGGTTAACAACAATACAATAAGTGCATTGTTCTCATTTGGGAGCGTCACTTAAAACTGTACACGAATTAACCAAGATTTACATGGCGGGCGTTGTTAAATCAGATGACGCTTGCTCTTCAGAACACTGGTCATGTCATCCTTGTACTTGTTCTGGTACCTCCTTGTGATTCATTCTGTACATATCTCGTACTCGCTTCATCAATTTCGATATTGAGATGATGTCGGTATATTATTTGATGTTAAAAATAACCTCCAGTTTTGAGGTTGACAGCCGATCTATCGTCACAATTACAAGATCTTTGATCATTATTTGTCGTTTTGATTAATCTCCATTGTCATTACAGTCACTTCACGGCAAGGTAACAGGACCTGTATTCCTCGACGGTGTCAAGTGTGACGGGACCGAGTCTACTATCCTATCCTGTCCTAATATGGGCTGGAATGTTTCGTCGGTACATTGTGACGCACACAATGATGACGCTGGGGTCACGTGTTTTTCTTGGGGTAATCTATCGTCACCGCATTATATATCTTTTGACTGCTTTAGACGACATGTTCTTTTACATACATGTAAATTTGAATGTAAATGTTGATCGTTTCATTAAGTATTTGGTACATCTACACTACCGTCAGGTGGTATAACAATCACAGGACCTTGTATTTATTCGATTCTTAAAACATTTTATCAAGTTTTTGTTTCCTCAAATGTTGATTAAAGCAATATTATGTCCGGAAAATAATAAGTTAGTTCGAATGTGTAAATTAATTCTAAAAAATGGAACTTAGATATAAACATATATGAGGAAGTTGATCAACATAATGGAAAATTTGGTTTTACTTTCGATATTTGACTGGAGTTGACGGTGTTATTTCGATATTTGACTGGAGTTGACGGTGTTATTTCGATATTTGACTGGAGTTGACGGTTTTACTTTCGATATTTGACTGGAGTTGACGGTTTTATTTCGATATTTGACTGGAGTTAACGGTGTTATTTCGATATTTGACTGGAGTTGACGGTGTTATTTCGATATTTGACTGGAGTTGACGGTTTTATTTCGATATTTGACTGGAGTTGACGGTGTTATTTCGATATTTGACGGGAGTTGACGGTGTTATTTCGATATTTGACTGGAGTTGACGGTTTTATTTCGATATTTGACGGGAGTTGACGGTGTTATTTCGATATTTGACGGGAGTTGACGGTGTTATTTCGATATTTGACTGGAGTTGACGGTTTTATTTCGATATTTGACTGGAGTTGACGGTGTTATTTCGATATTTGACTGGAGTTGACGGTGTTATTTCGATATTTGACTGGAGTTGACGGTTTTACTTTCGATATTTGACTGGAGTTGACGGTTTTATTTCGATATTTGACTGGAGTTAACGGTGTTATTTCGATATTTGACTGGAGTTGACGGTGTTATTTCGATATTTGACTGGAGTTGACGGTTTTATTTCGATATTTGACTGGAGTTGACGGTGTTATTTCGATATTTGACGGGAGTTGACGGTGTTATTTCGATATTTGACTGGAGTTGACGGTTTTATTTCGATATTTGACGGGAGTTGACGGTGTTATTTCGATATTTGACGGGAGTTGACGGTGTTATTTCGAACTGGAGTTGACGGTTTTATTTCGATATTTGACTGGAGTTGACGGTGTTATTTCGATATTTGACTGGAGTTGACGGTGTTATTTCGATATTTGACTGGAGTTGACGGTTTTATTTCGATATTTGACTGGAGTTGACGGTGTTATTTCGATATTTGACAGGAGTTGACGGTGTTATTTCGATATTTGACTGGAGTTGACGGTTTTATTTCGATATTTGACTGGAGTTGACGGTGTTATTTCGATATTTGACTGGAGTTGACGGTGTTATTTCGATATTTGACTGGAGTTGACGGTGTTATTTCGATATTTGACGGGAGTTGACGGTGTTATTTCGATATTTGACTGGAGTTGACGGTTTTATTTCGATATTTGACTGGAGTTGACGGTGTTATTTCGATATTTGACTGGAGTTGACGGTGTTATTTCGATATTTGACTGGAGTTGACGGTTTTATTTCGATATTTGACTGGAGTTGACGGTTTTATTTCGATATTTGACTGGAGTTGACGGTTTTATTTCGATATTTGACTGGAGTTGACGGTGTTATTTCGATATTTGACTGGAGTTGACGGTTTTATTTCGATATTTGACTGGAGTTGACGGTGTTATTTCGATATTTGACGGGAGTTGACGGTGTTATTTCGATATTTGACTGGAGTTGACGGTTTTATTTCGATATTTGACGGGAGTTGACGGTGTTATTTCGATATTTGACGGGAGTTGACGGTGTTATTTCGATATTTGACTGGAGTTGACGGTTTTTTTCGATATTTGACGGGAGTTGACGGTGTTATTTCGATATTTGACGGGAGTTGACGGTGTTATTTCGATATTTGACTGGAGTTGACGGTGTTATTTCGATATTTGACTGGAGTTGACGGTGTTATTTCGATATTTGACGGGAGTTGACGGTGTTATTTCGATATTTGACTGGAGTTGACGGTGTTATTTCGATATTTGACTGGAGTTGACGGTGTTATTTCGATATTTGACTGGAGTTGACGGTGTTATTTCGATATTTGACTGGAGTTGACGGTGTTATTTCGATATTTGACTGGAGTTGACGGTGTTATTTCGATATTTGACTGGAGTTGACGGTTTTATTTCGATATTTGACTGGAGTTGACGGTGTTATTTCGATATTTGACGGGAGTTGACGGTGTTATTTCGATATTTGACGGGAGTTGACGGTGTTATTTCGATATTTGACGGGAGTTGACGGTTTTATTTCGATATTTGACTGGAGTTGACGGTGTTATTTCGATATTTGACGGGAGTTGACGGTTTTATTTCGATATTTGACTGGAGTTGACGGTGTTATTTCGATATTTGACTGGAGTTGACGGTGTTATTTCGATATTTGACTGGAGTTGACGGTTTTATTTCGATATTTGACTGGAGTTGACGGTTTTATTTCGATATTTGACGGGAGTTGACGGTGTTATTTCGATATTTGACTGGAGTTGACGGTGTTATTTCGATATTTGACGGGAGTTGACGGTGTTATTTCGATATTTGACTGGAGTTGACGGTTTTATTTCGATATTTGACTGGAGTTGACGGTGTTATTTCGATATTTGACTGGAGTTGACGGTTTTATTTCGATATTTGACTGGAGTTGACGGTGTTATTTCGATATTTGACTGGAGTTGACGGTTTTATTTCGATATTTGACGGGAGTTGACGGTTTTATTTCGATATTTGACTGGAGTTGACGGTTTTATTTCGATATTTGACTGGAGTTGACGGTTTTATTTCGATATTTGACGGGAGTTGACGGTTTTATTTCGATATTTGACTGGAGTTGACTGTTTTATTTCTGTACATACTATCTATTTTCAGTCCCTTCAATATGTCATTATGTAACAGTTTGTCAACCACAAACCGTATACATATGTGTTATTAACTCTCATTACAATACTACTTACATATATCATAATCTTTCGCAGACGAGATGTAGATTCATTGTTTTTTTTTCTTAGCTAAGCTGCATATAAGCAGGTACTATGGTGCTGTGATGTTTTGGAACGAAGAGTTGGACACGTATGGCTTAGTGTGTGATGATGGTCATTTCGGAAATGTGGCTGCTGAAGTTTTCTGTAAGGAACAAGGGCTTCAGTATAGTGTTGCTGTAGGCTGTTCAACGTTTGGAGATTTTGACTCTCCGTATACACTATCAAGTGTTGACTGTGATGGTTCGGAGACAAAGCTGATTGAGTGTACATACAAAAAGACAACTTATTGTCCCAGTAAACTATATATAAGTGTTGTGTGTGCGTCCTTCCTATCAACTTCTGCTAGTAAGTATTCTCTACAAACGGAACAGTTCGATGAAGAACACTATTTTAGGTAGTTTTATCTCGCCCATTTGTCACATAACAATAAAGTACGGTTATGTTTTTATTTCACAGTGAACAATATCAATATTCATTACGGAAGCTTATTAAATTTAAGTATTTGTGAATGAGCAATTATCTGAAAGGATAAACATGTATTGCATCGAAGCACCTAAACAATGCTGTATCAGATTTACAAGCTATATGTAATTTCCAAAACCTTTTTGTCTGATACCTTGTAAAGAAAATATTGTTAAATCTTTTAGCGAAATTAAAACTCCAAAATGGTGACCATGGATACGTGGAAGTGAACCATTTGTATCAATACGGCTATATCTGTTCTGAGGGATTTGACGACGTCGATGCCACCGTAATGTGTAAGATGACCGGCTATGTATACGGAACAGCATATAGGTGAGACATCAACACGATCACTTGGTTTTCAAAAGATGATCATTCTTGTTGATATATGATAACTCAAACATCCTGTGTTCTTCCAGCTACAATAAAAGTTAATTGCTATTTTTTCTTAGATTTCGGTGGAATCATTGCTTAGTCCAGAACAAATCAACGTCAATTCTCAGTATGATCTTTATTACACCAGATTCGTGAATAATTTTTCATGAGCGAATTTTAAGCTTCACTTGAAATGGATTATTGAATAAACACGATAACGTTGCTGCAAAAGTCATTGTGTAGACAGCTTCCAAAGTTTTAACGGAATTCGATCTTCTATTTTTAACAATTCAACTTATCCTGATAAGACGGATGAATAGATTAATGCACTACGTCGAATAATTGTTTATCTGTAGACACTACATACACAATCAGAAGTTGGGTAGTATCCATAGAGACAAATTCCGATGGTTATCAAACCTCAGCTGCAACTCAACCGCTAATACTCTGGACGACTGTGACCCTCGGTGGGGAGAAACGTGCCCGTGTGATCATCGTACTATCGCTGGGGTATTTTGTCTCTCACAACCAGGTAAATTTCAATTCTCATTATTTTGTCTCTCACATCCATACAGTTTTGCTAACGATAACCAAATATATACATTTCTCTTACACGAGTGTAATTATAAAACATAGAGTCGTTTTTATCCAATCCAAATTTTTTAAGAATTGATTAATAATTTTTAATTAAAATAAAAAACATATAATCTGTCTCTTCAATGAATGAAACATTTAACATTGATAAATCACAACATTGATGCATTTGAAGTTAGTGTAATTGTAAAACATGACGCGTGGACAACGTCACAGATATAAAGCTACTCTAACAGAATGCTGATGTGTAGACTTAATGCAAATAACTATCAATGTGATTGTTCAGTATTTTATTTGCTATGGTGTGTTTCCCAGCATCTGCTATGGTAGAACTGGAAAATGGAACAGCTATGGAAGGCAGGGTATTGGTTAAAGTCAACGTTGACACCACTGGTTTGGTATGTGGTGACTATTTTTCTCATAACGAAGCTGATGTTATATGCCGCCAGCTAGGTTATCGTTCTGGAATCTCATTGGACTCCGGTAGCCATGGTAACGCTGTCGGTAACTATTTCCTGGAAAGCATGACGTGTAATGGAAACGAAACAAGCTTTTTGGAATGTGCACTAGAGCCTCATTATAATACTGCAAACTGTCGATCAGGTGCAGCCGCTGTTAAATGCTACCAAAACGGTAAGGATTAATTTCTTCTGTGTTTGTAGTATATTGCAGTAAACATGCTGATGCATTTGTAAGGGTAATCCTAATTATAACATGGGAAATAATTTGAAAACTAATAAAGAAATGAGCATATTGCTGTTAAAAAAACCCAACTGTATCGTGAATGGTTACTGAACTTGTTTGACTTGTAGTGCCATCCCTTTAAAGGGTAGGGGTGGGTGTATTGGTGTAAATGTCTTCCCCGTCCGTCTCCGTCTCATACTTGATGTATCGGCAATTTGGTTCTTTTTGCTCATATAAATAGTTTTTTAATGTTGCAAGTTTCAGATTCCATCAAATTTGTATCGGGGTTCACCTCAGATTTAGATTCTATTTATATAGAGGTGAAACCTATCTTTCAAATCAATTAATTCATGATTCAATGCCTATTTGTGCTTGTAGGTTTCTACTTTTTTAAAATATATTTACAGTTAGACTAACAGGAGTGTTGTCGAAGCCTTACTTTGGCCGAGTTGAACTACATAACGGTGAAGAGTGGGAAGCGGTGTGTGACGAGAATTTTGACGATACAGATGCACGTGTAGTATGTGAGTCTCTAGGTTACGTCACTGGGCGGAGCCAATGTTGTTTTAATTTTGGTCCTCAGCCAATCAACGTCAAGATTCAGGTGATCAACATGACATGTGATGGGAACGAGAAAAGGGTTCAAGATTGTTCTTATGACACAGAACTGACGTGCCCTTCAAATCGATACGCTTCTGCATTTTGTTTAACGAAAACAACAGTGGAAGGTAAATTATCATTAGGTAGACTGTAAACTTCCATCCTAACTATCTATCTCTCTGGTTTATCTATTAGACCGCAAGCTTCCATTCTCATATAATGATTGGACGGCAAGTGGTTGATCTAATATAACCCTTGGTACCCAGTCTTCTTCCACACCTTAATACGCTGCTGGACTTTCCAATTATTTTTATATTTGTATATTTGCATGGATCTTAGACTTTGGTGCCCCCAAATTAACATTTTTTCTGGCACTCCACCACAGCCATACGCCAGGAGGTAATCATCCTTTGTTTTCATACTGTCAAAGAAATATACCAATTGTCTATTTAATTTCGAATATTTTTTATCGCCTATAAGGATCTCGTGTATGAAAAACATCATAGTGATTCCCATGATTATCTTCTAAATATTGCTGAGAAAACTGAAACCACAGAGGGCTTAAGGATTATAAAGGGATTTTCAAGTCAATCTTAATTCTAGTCATCAATGCTTTAAAATCAGGCGTACAAATTTACAATAAACAAATTGTGTAGATAATGTAAACGTGATGTTTCTTTCTTGCCTTATGTTTTGCTTAAATTTGTTCATGAATGCTCCAATAATCTTCAAAAATGTTGCCGCTCTTTGTTAGTCAAAGTTGTGTGAGTACATCTTCTGATTTATACATGTTTCTTTACCAAAAAGTGGTACTTATTTTCGTTTTACAGAGGAGTCTAGTCATTCAACAGATTGTTTATGATAGCGAACTGATGTTGGATTTTCTTGTTCTTGAATTTTATTGTATTTTTCTATGATTTTTAACGAAGTGGGCTGAGTAAAGGTGTCGTTCATTTTCATGAGATTGTACTATGGTCATGTGGAAATACATAAGATGAAATAACTATTCTGTAAGGAAACTACACTATTGACGTGCTTTGAAAAATCAAGTACTATATAACTTCTAAATACAATGTTGTAGATATAGCCGTGCGATTACCTGGAAATTCATTCTATGGTCCCGTAGAGGTGCGCCGGTACGGTATGTGGGGTTCTATCTGTGCTTCCGGTTGGGATGACCATGACGCTGATGTTACCTGTAGGACCCTAGGATACAGAACGGGAAAAGCTGTAAGGAATCTAGTGGACCGTGATGATGTCATTATCCTCGGCAACGTCAACTGTAGGGGTGTCGAAAAGCATTTCGGCGACTGTATTCTGGACCCGTTTGGGACAGATACTGGATGCTATGATAGATATGCTTTAGCAGGTGTTATCTGCCTTAACACGTCGGGTAATGTTATTGTGGATTATTACTGATAAAAGTACTTTGATGAAAAGTTACAGTAATATTCTAGATTAGACGTGAAAATGCTGTGTGTAACACTATTTATCCTACATGAATAATGTGTAAAATCCCCACTGACTTTCACTGTCGTACATCCATCGTGTTAATTCCATGAGAATATTCTATTCAAAACCAAATTGACTGTCTATCGTCATGAGACAAAACAGAATACCGGTATATTCTCTCAAAATATTCCTTAAATTCTATTTTGATGTTTTGTTGGTAAATTGGCGATTGTAATGGGGTTTGGCATTTTCTTTGTTAAATGCAAGAAAGAAAGGTAAATATATATAAATAAGAAAATTAAGGGTTTGAGCAAGAGCTTTGTATCAATAAACACGTCAGTAGATGAATTATCGTGATAAATTTACGATTCATACCAATATTAACGCCATTAGGATAACATTATAATATTTGCAATATATATAACTGAGTATGTTTAATCTCACTTTTTCAGATCAAATAAGTTTTGAAACAAGAGGAACCGGAAAATCCTCCGCCATTTACATATCCGCCGATACCAATAGTATGTATATCGCTTATTCTGATTTTGATGACGTCACAGCATCAGTGGTATGTAAAGATATGGACACAACATATGTAGGTGGATCAGCAATGGGATTTATCTCTCATATACCAAGCGTGACGAAATTTCGTTGTAAAGGAAACGAACAATCTGCCCTTGACTGCATTGGCCATTGGAACTCAGGAATAACAGAAACGATGACCATTGCATCAGTTAATTGTCACCGTGGAGGTAAGTTGATGATTTATGAGAAAAATGTAATTGATCTTAATGAGTAAAGGAAAATGTTTAATTTTGCTTATATGATTAACATAATTAACTAACATAATTAAAAATGGTGCTATAGCTACATAATATATTACATCGGAAATGTTCTTTATATAGTTTTTTTGGCGACCCTGTCATAATATAATAAATGAAGTGGTAAAGTTTGATACTGCTTGATCTGGTAATCAAAGGCTTCGTAAAAGGAATCGTAATGTATGTGAACTGAGACTGAGGTTTTGAAACGATATCAAGTTTATCCATTATTCGTAGCAGTGATTAGTTTATACATCATTAACCATGCGCTGCCCTATTTATTTTGCATAAGGATAATTTGAAACAAATAAAAGGAAGCGATAATACGTATTTGGTATTTTCACTTTCAAATTTTGGAGCAATGACATTTTAAAAATGTGATAGGCAAAAATTGCAAACTGTACAATTTACGTATTTCTGAAAAAAAGCAACTCACCAAAATATCCTGATATATGGTGTAGATATCCGACTCGCTCCTCGTTCCTCTTTCTTCTCCAATCTATGTGTTTAATTTATATTAGCATTAGATTAACGAACGGTACAGTCACATGCGCAAATATTGTACATAATTAGATGGTTGAATTGTGCAATTTCGTTATTTCGTCTTTTCGCCCCAAAAAGGTGAGAATGAAGACACTTTAATCTGAGTCATTTCGCCCCAAAAGACGAAAAGATGACAAGTCATGCTTAAAAAGACAACTAAATACACGCTAATCATTGACCTTGATTTCCGTCTTCTTCGTTAATAAATCTGGTCTTTCCGCCTTACGTGTTTTCGCCCTGAAAAAATGGAAATTAACAAACCTTACCTTTCTGCTTTTCGTGTTTTCGCCCCGAAAGGAAAAAGATAATTTTTTCCCGTATGATTTTCGGGAGAGACGACGAATGAATGAGAATTTAAATGTTTAATTCTCGTCTTTTGGCTGCGAAAAGTCGAAATTACGAAATGGTACAAATCAGCCACCGTAGTAAAAACTTCCAATGGATATATTTACCCCTGATATCGATGACAATGTAGTGAGACCATCATAATCAAAGATATTCTATACTTAATGAATCTTTTTTCATTTGCACAACTTTATCCACATTCCTAACAGACCTCGGTTAAAGTTACTGCTGGAGTTTCATTTAACAAATATGTATGCAAAATACTACAGCCTTTTTGTGTTGAATGTAAAGGTATCGTTTCACTTACCATGAGCAAAAATCATATCAATTTCATATATCTACCATGATAACGATTACGTAACTAAAACAAAGACATGCTAATGGCGACATTTGATCATACTATACAATCCACATTGCCATTGGTAAACTTCTATACAACGCGTGTAAAACCATTACATATAATGAGCTCAACGTTTACTTTTGAAGTGAAGCTTGTCAGCGGTGAGACTCACTTTGGTATCGTGGAGGTATACAGGAGAGGGACATGGGGAACGATATGTTCTGGAACATTCAGTGAAAGTGAAGCAGGTCAGTTCAAACTTTGAACCGGTGTTCTCATAGAACTCAGCATGTTATAAAACGTTCTGGTACATACACATTTAACAACATTAACGTAATGACTCTAAGTAAAGGACAACAAGAAGCATGTGCGTATCTACTATAATAGCTAGTATTTCAAAGTGGTTTTATTTTTCAATTTTTGCGAGGAAACATAACGTATAGTACATCTAATTTCCTCTGTGAAAAATAAAACTTTTTTGTTTCCGTGAAATCAAGAAAATTTGAACCAGCGAAAAACAAAGTTTATAGTATAGTGTTGATTGCATCTACAGTTGATGTTTTGCCAGAAAAAATTCATCGCAAGTACATTGCTGTTTATATATATAACATTAAATATCCTTTTTGCAGAAAATGACACTTTATATTTTCAGAATGGGATACTAAACAGACAAAAATTAGATATTTATGTTGTCTCACCTTATAGGAGACCTAAAATATCTTTTTTTTTACACATTTATACTATTCGACACTGATCTTCAATTATATCTCTTTTTTATTATTGTATTCTTTAAATTGTAATTACAATAAACATTTTTGCTTCAACAATCTGTATGCAGGTGTAGTTTGCAGAAACCTGGGTTTCGACGATGGAATTTCTCTGTGTTGCTCACCATTTGGTAAAGCCAAAAGTCCTGTCCTAGTATCCTTTCTGCAGTGTTCAGGCACGGAATCAGATTTAAGAGAGTGCCTTGCTACTTTTGTACATCCCAACAACGTTCACGATGATCTCTGTACTTCCACAGATGATTATGCGTCTGTTGTATGCTACAACGGAGCTAGACCACAAGGTATATTTTCACTTGTTTAATATTAACGTTGTAAAGATAGCGACACAATTAGAAATAACAGATTTAAATAAATATGCTGCTTTCTGTCGCTCCCTTTGAAAACTATCACTGCTTTGATCTCAAGCGTATGACCTTACATATGATATTCAAATGAGTTTACAAATCAATTTTGCTTTAATATATATTTACAAACGCAAACAGACAAACATTCATAAAAATGAATTATGTGCTTATTCTCAGATTACAAACTTTCCTTACCCAAACCTTCCCTTGGTCACATCGGTGCGCTAGCCTTGACTTACCTCGATGTAGAAGGCCGGATCTGTGCCAATGGCTGGACAAACAATGACGCCAAAGTGGCTTGTAAACAGCAGGATTTTGATTATGGCGTCGCTTACACACATCTCGTTGAAAATATGACGCAAACAGGCGGACCTTATTGGACGTCTGAAATTAATTGCACTGGATTGGAAAGAGACTTACTAGAATGCGACCACGTGGGACTAGGGCGTGTGCGAAAATGTGATGAGCTACACTATGCTGGAATGATCTGCTATGATGCTGAAGGTAGTTGAATCATATCTATACAACTATATAAAGTAGTTTCAGGACGCATGACATTGTGATCATGGAAGGGAATAATGTAAATACGTACTCGTTACTAGCTGACTTCTTTTTCATGACAAATCTTAGTGTAAAATGTATACCTGTACTACCTTTTATGTAAAGAAAATGTGTAAATGATACTGAGTTAACTCCCCTGTAAAAATACATTTATTCAGTGTAGCAATGTTCTTGAACTATATATTAAACAAAAGAATGTGTTATAATAAGGTCTTGCATCGGATACCAATACAGAAGACATAGACAATATATTGTATTGTATATATGTTGTTTTATATAGGGCCAAGTTACAGGATAGCAGGTGGGGATCGTGATTCTACATGGGGTCGTGTGGAAATCAACCTACCTGGATTTGGTTGGGGTACAATCTGTAATACGCACTGGGGTCCAAAGGAGGCACAGGTACTATGCAGACAATTTGGATACGACAATGGGGAAGTATACAAGGGCGACTATAAAATGCCTCCTCTCCATCTTTTTGTTTTTGACGTCAAGTACATGTGTACCGGAAACGAGCACCGTTTGATGGACTGTCCTCATGACGGTTGGCTTCAATCATTCATTGAAATGTGTAGTAGTCACCGAAATGATGCAGGCGTCACGTGATCTTACGTTATTTGTTTATGTAATCATAATCATTTTTTACCTATGTGCTTTCAAAGTGCCCGTTGTCAGTCCTTAATATACATTCAATTTTATAAATTTACTTCATAGATGCTTGTAGATAACTTTCAACGACTTACTAGTTATCAAGAATAACTAAAATATTGTCAATATGATATTGTTATTTGAAAGCCAATGATTCATATTTGTGAACGTTTTTGTTATTGTTCTCCTTCAAGCCAAAATATAGGCATCATTTAGTAAATTTACGATATCCAGAAAATTAGTGAGAAAACTAACATACTGAGTATTTATTTGGGAACAGTTTGTGGACATATCAATACAAATAAAAATAAATACAAATGGGTCAATCTAAAAATACATACCGATATTATGCGAAGCTCAGCAAGCCATCACGGGAAAAAACGTGACCAATCTGCATACTCAAATGAACACTGTCCGTGACGTTATATCAAGGTAGAATGCAACGAAATTATGGAACACTATGCCTCCAGTTGCAGCAAACTTTTTAAAAATGTATTGTGTAAGGCATTTGCTTTATGCATGGATAATTTGACAACCGTATGTCAAAGGTCATGGTCAAAGTCACATGCTGAAAATGTTTGGTAGTACCGAAATGGTCTTGTCACAAGGACCACACATATCAAATATGAAAACCCTACCGCTTATGGTGCAATCATTATGGGCAAAGTTAAAGATGACAACAAACAAACCAAGACAGCGCAAAAATAATATGTCCCCGTTCATTCGATCCGAAGGCATAAAAAGTGAATATCAACAGCTTTTGTATGAATAGCAACGCACGATATTGTCTTAAGTATTTCTCAGAGATAATTTTTTTACTATAGCGATATAAATATATTATGTTTTCTCTTTGTTTTTTGTTTTGTTTTTTTTTGTGCAAGATGCAAATATTTGGACTTTCAGTTTCCCTGTACATGGCGTCTTCTGCATTTAAAATTTAAATGGGATAATTAATACAGTTACGTTCAATTTTGATATACTAAGTATTTTATACAAAATTTGTCTGAAATTCGATATATTCTAATTCATGCCGACCCCAGACCCTATTGCAACTAAAAGGATGTCATAAAACTGAGATAAAGTCATAGCTAGTCCTCATCTGCAATTAAAAACGTGTTTTGTGGTAATATATAGATTCATTTATTTCATTTCAAAGCCGTTGTTCCTGTACCTAGCACGAAGGAACCAACGACGGGATCTGGGCCGGATTCGGAAGCCAAGAACAATACAGGATTAGTTGTAGGGGTAATTATAGCCAGTGTTCTCGTCATCGTACTCTTCGTTACAGTCATCCTCGTTCTAAGATGGCGCCAGAGTCAGAGAAGATCTCCAAGACACGAGCAATTCCCCAACATAATTTTACACCAAGGTCATGATGGTTCATTACATTTACACAATCCACTTCATGGAGAAAATAGTGCTGATTCTGGACCGGTTAACATCGATACTTCCGGTACTGTGTCATATAAATCTGGTAATATTACTCCTTTCGATTCGCAGTCACAGTATGTAAATACAACACATGGTGCAACTCATGATACCAACGAATCGTCACAAATAATCATCAGTGGTGCATCCCATAATACTATCAATGATACAGCCCATAATACTAACATTGATACAGCCCATAATACTAACATTGATACAATCTATACAAATGAACCATGTCGTAATGATACTAATGGTGAAAGGTGTGACTTGGACTACAAAGGTCGTGAAATTGTCACAATGAACAACACAGAGCCTGGCGAAGCACAAAGTGATCAAGATTCGCCAGAACTGTCGTACACAAAATTGAGCTTTCCCACAGAACCACATATTTATGAAACTTGTCACAATTCTTTTTCTAAAAACGAAACACCACATAATGATACTAATGGTGAAAGGTGTGACTTGGACAACAAAGGTCGTGAAATTGTCACAATGAACAACACAGAGCCTGGCGAAGCACAAAGTGATCACGAATCGCTAGAACAGTCGTACGCAAAATTGAGCTTTCCCACAGAACCACATATTTATGAAACTTGTGACAATGCTTCTTCTACAGACGGCGTAATATAGTCTAATTAATTATTTATTTATTGAATCAATTTTGCACGACTTCCATATTTGGATATGGTGATTAAAACAACCGACTAAAATATGACGTCTAATGTTTCTATTGTGAACACTGGTGTATGAATCATAACCGCATATTATACATGTAATAAAGTCTCTCTTGAGGTAAGGAACACACTCTTTATAATCTATTGAACACTGTACGCTGTATATTTTTATTTTCTGGTTCTACAAATGTTCTATTCTTCATGTTGCTCACGATTGTGCTAAATCAAGCTTTGTTAAGTGGACTTGTAACTATCGCATGCAATATTCATTCATGTCTAATAAATATACATTTACCCCAATATGTCTCCCACCCGTCCTACATTGTACGTGCGTCTGTAGCTTCATTGGCTTGACTAATTGATACGTGAGGTATAATTACAACACTGTTGTTACTCTGCTAATCCATTGTAACCATTCCAAATATCGTTTATAATGAGATATTTGTATCCGTCCTTTTCAAACACCAGATAAAAAAATATTTTATTTATTTATTTATTTATTTTTTTTTTGAAAATTATCTTCAATTATCATCATGATTACTGTGATCATGTTATTGATAGAATTAGTTCAATCAACGGTTTTGGGATTTTTGGAGAACTTTTTGTAAAACATTGCTCATACCAAAACTGAGGCTGTCTTAATGGGTTGATTCAAATGAGGCCAGAACTGTTGTGCATGAATGACTCCACTGTAATCGGTTTTATTTTAAACCAAAAATAACAGTAATAGATGCACTGTTGTGCATGCTGTGTTCAATCAAAATTAGGAATTTACCAATAAAACTTGGTCTATTTCATGTGTGGAATGTGCTTGACACAAATATTAACTTGCTTCAGATGGTGAAATAATTGTTATGATTCACTACGTCATAACTAGGATTATCATTTGTTCGTATTGATGGGGATCACAATAACTTTATCGCTTTTTCTCATGTTAACATCTAGTCATCACTATCAGTACGACAGTCATTAAATTTATGCTAAACCCATGGAAGTGACACATACTTATGATACAGACATAATGTTTTTTTTGTTCTATTTAAAGATTTTTCCATTTTGCTTTTGTCGTGTGATGCAACTTATATAATTCAACTGTATCAGATGTATAGAATAACATTTGTGTATGATTGATTTTTGAAATAAAAAAAAAATCTCTGTTTTAATTTCGAGTGCTAACAGAAAATCCACTACGGCGCTTTGGTGACAGTAGAAGTAAAATTTCAGTGATGTAATATCCTCTCTTCCACTAAATCGTATATTCTGCGACAAATCTGATGGAGAAGATTGCCCCGTTAACATAGCCATCGATACCGCGAGACGTATCTACACGTGACCTACTCGACTGATCCATGTTAAGTAAATCAAAGATATGTGAATAACGATATTGATCAAATATACATATCAACTGAATGTTTCTATATAACATAAATAAACAAAACCAGAAGTCAAAGTATGTTAAATTCTGGCTAACAAAAGGATTATTACCAAAGCACATTAGCTTCAATTTTTCATGAGTTTATTAATAAAAACGAGTCGAATTATGTAGATTTGTGAGGTTTATTAATCCGTTATCTTTTTCTTAGTCTTCTTAAGATTGACATATGTAAGTTAAGGACTGAAGCTTTAAGTGAAACACTGTAAGATCGGACGTACACTTGATTAAACATTAGATAATTGACTTTGTGGAACTTATTGTTGACTTTTTTGACTCCATTTTATAGTAAAGCATGACGATTGGAACGTTTGATGAAGTTTGTCCTACGAGTGTAAACATATCAGGAGTTTAGGAAGATTATTGATCAATTGTTTCAGTGGTAAACATTGTTTTAAAGATAGTTAAAGAAATGTGTCTTTTTACTTTTACAATTTATACACGGATACCAAAATAGAATAATATTTGATTTTACTATGATATGTGTTCATTGTAATTACAGTAGGATAATAACATTTAATTCAAACAATAATTCACCAATATTACAACTACTTAAAATAGATTTAAGATTTGAAAGCAAGGTTGAACCATCTAGTGGTTCCTTTCCTCTTGTTTAATAAATTAATATAAATGAATTGTACCTGTCAAATGCTGCCTTACCTTTTATTAAGAGGAGTAACATAATAGCAGATATCAGAGTCAACATCATTGGTTATGATGATTGAAAGACAATTCCTACCTGCCAAATTATCCACGTACCTGTTGTTCTACAAATACATGAAGCATGAAAATGTCTTCATGATGTTCAATTCAATGATTTTATAACAAATTATACATTGTAATGAGAAAATGTGTTTACTAGAATGACCATTCCAGAATATGAAACCAATAATAAGTCATATGATAGCCCTCCCTGGAATCACCCGTCATACAGCCCGGGAGTAGAGACTGGTCTGTATTGTTGGAAGCCTTGGGGACCAGGTAAGTTCCATTCCATCCAATGCTGCATTTAGGAGGATCGGCATCTTCTACTACGGACGAGTGAAACACTAAATCAACTTTCTGTAACAGAAATATTTACGTTAGTTACAAGTATCATTACTGAGGTACACAACTTCTCTAACACTTGATAACCTGTACTGATGAAGATATATAAGTAAATAAAAAGTGAGGATTCTGAACACCTGTTTACAATTTGTATGTACCACTGAATATCTTTGTCACATTATATATATCATTAACAAGAATAATCATGTCAGAATATTGTATTTCAATATTCAAATACGGAAGTCAAACGCCACTTCCATGTCCTACACTAAATACATATGACATCATACACTTACGTCGTATTCTACAACATAAATTAATTCACACATACTAAACTCTGTTGTAAGCTGTTTATTAAACTCAATGACGGAATATGGGTTGCTTGGATATAGAACTGACAACTCAAACAATGTCGATATGTAACTGAAGTTTCTACCTGATTTATCATAAATGAAAAAGACAGGACAATGATTTCGTATTTCAAACGACTGTTTTAAAGGAATACCAACAACGATGTTCTTTTATTTTATATGGTGTCAGGATACAGTTATTTTAATATCAGATCATCAGATAGTAAAATGTGCATTATATGGTAATTATGTCGATTTCAAGTGACCTCTAAATTTAATTCAGATCTTTGTTTATTTTAGTAGAAAAATGGATAAAATTCGCTTTGTTTGACTTGCTGTGTTTTTAACGAATCAGATAAAACCTATTTGGACTTATACGTCATGTTAAATGTGACAGTTAAAAATTAAACGGCTAATATCAGGTAATCCAGAACAAACACCTTCGAGACATGTCAAAAAAATCCGATAGATCTATGGCAAAATAGAGAGAGAGAGAAAGAGAGAGAGAGAGAGAGAGAGAGAGAGAGAGAGAGAGAGAGAGAGAGAGAGAGAGAGAGAGAGAGAGAGAGAGAGAGAGAGAGAGAGAGAGAGAGAGAGAGAGAGAGAGAGAGAGAGAGTGAGAGAGAGAGAGAGAGAGAGAGAGCCATGATTACATAGAAAGAGAATATGAGATGTAAAAAAGAGTAAGTGTCGCCTGCTCCATTCCCCAAGCGAAGGAAATGCATTACTATAATCACATGGGAACAACTACCTACTACCAAATTGTCTACAGAGATGTAGGTCAGTAGATATATTAGGTGATGACGAGATAAAATAACAAACAGGCAAACAGGCAAACTTAAATGCTTATTGTTAGGTGAATGACACGTACCATGGCGCTGATACTATCATTGAGAGCCGAAACCCGATAATTCAACGGCCCGTGGTCACATGATCCAACATGAATTTGCTCAGTACGGTTGTACTTGACGTTTGGTTTTAGAGGAGGTGTTTTCACAGTTGCAATACATCCACTGGTAAACAAACAAACAAATGTTGCATTTATAAATTACATTTCGGATATACCATTGGGTTTTAAAATATCGGTTGGCCATGAATTCTGTTCATAAAACACTATGAAAGTAAGACACGTCGGCCTTATCTTTGGCTTTCATTCAAATAATGATAAATTATATGCCAAGTGAAGAACAGAAGGTGGTGTACTTACTTAGGATCCCACGTGTCATTCACTGTAATTAGAAATGTGACACTCCTTACATTTACCAGCTGGTCTTGTAACTCACGTGTCCAGACCGCTGTTACACCCAGAAAACAGCAGGCAATTGCTGTCACCGTAACAAGATAGCTGGCAGACATTATTCCGTTCACAATCTCACTACAATTTAATAGGTCAAATTTCTCGTTTGTCAGTCAGCGCTGTCGTTATAAGCTTATATCAAAATATGAAATTTATCTCTATTGTGTCTTTTCAAAAATTGTACTGATTGCTATACAATATATTTTTCTTGTATTTTATTTCAAAGAATTTTCTGTGGATGCAATTTTAGTCATAAAGTGTAAATACGCATAAAAGCCATGTCCGGACATTGGGCCGACAAATTTGAATTGGAAAATATCAATTTCAAAACTGAAAATATATTGGTAAGGGCGACCCTGAAAATACATCAGCCTTTAATTAGAGCCAGAAAAATACTTTTTCACTTCAGGATAGTGCATTAAAAACAATAGATTTGTATTTACTTCTTCTTGTCGTTAAATTGACAAGACATGCTTGCAACAGATGTGGAGAAGGTGACTGTCATATTGAAAAAAATATAATATGAAATAAAAATGAAACAGGAAATTTATACACAAAAAAATTTTGATACATATTTTCCTTCAACAATATTAATATCTATATAAATTACGATACAAGTAAGATTATATTTCAAACAAACAGTTAGAATTCAAATAAATGACTTTGACTCCACGGATAATGATATGGAGTACACAGCAAGTGGATATCCTTAATCATGCTCTAATTTGTTACATGTATGCAATGCATGTATATGATAGTGTTTAGTATTGCCAAAAATTTAAAACATACATAAAAACGCTATTGCTCCATTGCTTCATGTCACGAGTCAATGCAGAGAAAACAATATATTTCAAAGGACTGATGCGTGATATTTCGAGAAAGAATCATAACATCTCCCAATGGCAAATATCATTGTTTAATGAAGATAAATAAAAGAGCAGAGCACATTTGTTTTCAACGCTATTCTGAATTTGAATTATCTCCCTTTGCACCGTACATGGAGTGCTACATTTTCAGCAATCTGTTTCGTTAGATCAGGATAACATTCACCAACAGATTCAGTCTATTTCTGACCGATTTCAAATATAATAGATATGTTCAGAAAAATGGTATGTTTACCATGACTAAATACAAAAATATTTATTAATTTTTTACTTGGCCACTTTTGCTAAATATTGTAAATGTGATCCTCTTGTACTCATTCCATGCCTAATTATTCTCTCAATGTAATTTCTTAGTCGCTATAACCCTTAAATGCCTGCATTATAAGTTTTCGATTTCTCACGTTAAATAGATTCTCATTTCAATCCAATGTTATATGACTTGTCCAAGCATGACATACAAACATTTTGTCTACTTTTGATATTTTTGATACCAAGATGGCATCCTAGTCTTCATTTTGTTGAGTAATTATTATCTGCTCTCTAAAAAAAAAACGGATTCACAGGAAAAACCAAAAGGAGAAGACCATAAGTAAGCGTCTTCAGCTTCAAAGATGACAACCACCATGTTGATATTGCCCTTTTCACGTAAGTATTGTTATGTTCCCAAGATTGTACAAAAACACACAAGTGAATACAAACTTTTCAAGTGCTTTCATAGAGGAAAATACTTCGCATACTACGATAGATTTGAAAGAATGCAGGGAAACAACTACAACTATGAAACAACAATAGCAGGGAATGAATATTGATATCTTAACATTGCCATACCTACAGCTTGCAAACCTTATCTGTCTTAGATCCTTCAGTAATACTACTATGTTGATTCAGATTATAGTGGAGACCTTAAGAAATCATCAAAATGGCAGAAACATGTGCAATTAGAGAGGAGAAGAAGAGGAGAAATTGGTGGAGAACAACCCTAATCGTTTTTAATCCACTCAAGAATATGAAAGAGTTTCTATGGTAATTGTAACTTTTTTTCAATCGACATGTTTTTAGTTTACCTCCCAGTTTATGACATGATGTCATGTGACCAATATAAAATACGATACTGGATGTGTGATACAATGTATACAGTCTTGATAAGGGAAATTTAAACATTGACATTGACAGAAGAAGTGTAAGTTTTTTGTTTTACCATCTGATACCATGCTTGTTTAAATTGTTATTTTTTCTTGCTTTCTTTTTCATTTTCGATTTTGTTCGATTTTTTCACTTGCTTAATTTACCTTTTTGTTACCATTTTTATGATATTTTACATGACAAGTGTCGCTGATCAAGCAGAAAGTAGTTACTCTTATGGAACACCTGATATAAATATTCTTGTTCTTTTTCAAGACTCTCCGTCTAATTGTTTCTTTTGTTCATATTTTGCCCTAGTTTCATGGAATTAAAGTTTGGATTATGATTTTATCAACAAGTTTTTTTTTCATCTAATACCATACCTTTTCTTGTTATTTATTACTTTTTTCTATTTAATTTTTTTGTTTGTTTTTTCCTTCGAATTTTATTGTTTTGTTTCCATTTCTATAAAAATAATATCTGGTACTGTGGTTGTTTTTATTGTTATTTTTTTGTGCTTTCTTTCTGATTTTTAATTTTGTTTGTTTGTTTTGTCCTGATGATTTTACCTTTGGTTGCCATTTTCGTACAAGATTCCATTATTTTGTTCCTCATTCTACGTAACTGATAGTATAATAATACTATCTTACTCGGTACCAATCTATATGCTTTCAAGAAGTATATTACAGTGATTGATTGTGCATCCATAAATTCTGATGTCAATTATGTATTAAGTTTTCCCTGAAATATACATATATAAACTTACATTCTGAAAAAAAGCTTGGAGAAATATTGAAGAGAACACATATTTTCTTTCCATTCAGTATTCATAACGGAAAGTAACCTGCGGAACTTTGAACTTCTTTTTGTGTTTCATTGTTTTACAAAGTTCAAAATGTTTTAGCAGGAATGAATAATCTGATTTTGTGTAAGTAAGATACCATTTCTCTAGAAAGATGACAATGTCAATTGTAAACGTGACCTCCATTTCAAAATGGATGATACCAGGTAATGGCTTTTAACTCGAGAAAAACGAATTTTGATGAAACTGAGACAATTCCGAAAATCGCCATATAAATTAGATAATTACAAAATGTTAAAACTCGGGGATATGCCAATAATAAAGGCATGACCCTTAGATCGATCAAACAATTTGTTGCAGACTAAGGCGATTCTGAAAATCGGGTATTCAAAGAAAGAAGTGAAATCGGATTTTCCGGTGCGATACGAATGTCCTAGCAGGCAACTAATGAAAATTGTGGAGCTGTTTAGTGTCATTGACCTTTTCCACAGGTATAATCATTTGTCTCTGTCAAGTGGCTGGATTTTTTGCTAAAGCCATAGATAATTGATATAAGGACGAATCAAACAAGATTGCATGGTTATTAGAGAATACAGACTGACATTAGCAATGTGTGTAATTGGTCATTGAATAAACTGGAATAACACAATGCAGGCCAGTCCCATCATTCGGTGGATTATCATTCCTCAGACTTTTCGGCACTTTTGACGACGTCCCCCTGAGGTGCGCCAGCTGGGTTGATCAGGCCCAACCAGGGCTAACTGTGTTATTTCGATTACTAATTTCGTTGTTCAGATATGTTATCAAAAAGACATGACCATAACCGATTCAGATATTCAACACGATACCCAATGTAGTATATATTCGATGTACACTTTAATTTATTATCTATTTATTTAAATTGCATTAAATATTCAAAATTGGTAAATCACCCGTGCATATTCTAAACTATCCATTAACATATTCAGGAGCCTTTGAGTCTTTTAAACACTATCTTCCGGAACAAACACAATCAGTCTATTCCAACAATAACATGTATCTCAAATCAATAACAATTCGCTATCACAACAGGAGATTCTTGACTTACCGACTTTTTGACGTGATTTGTAGTTTAGAAACGCATTGTTTTCTATATGTCCTGGTAGATTCCAACATGACAGCTGAGATCAGAGTTTTCTCACTCGCCGTGTTCTAATTCTCAACACCTACTTATTTAATACAGAATGACATAATTTCATTTAAAGAAAACATGAAAATGCATTCAGACGACATATTGTATATCTTTATAGAACGTTACAGTCATAAAGCATGTGCACACTAACCTAACAACCAAATCAGATAGGTTTTATTGCAGTTTTATCTGCTTTCTCTAGAAATTATGTTAATACAACCACGGGTGATTAAGTTTATAGTTCTTTTCTAGTTTATATTTATATACATATTATTTGTCGTGAATTGCGCATCGACTTATTCATATTACAATGAAGCAGTCCAAGCTTAGAAATTTTAAAGATTAAAGCTTTACCAGATTGATTTTTTGCTGATACACATTTATGTTTCATAGAAAAGTGTCATTTTCGTAAAGCTGTGATATGTGTTTATAGGTCATAGAAAATTGTCATTTTCGCAAAGCTGTGATGTATTTTTATTAATCATAGAAAATTGTCATTCTCTTAAAGTTTTGTATTTAAAACACCCCAGTGGTTATATGTATCAGCGTGGGCAACTGCTTTATTATTGTTTGGAAAAAGAAAGGTGCATGTAACCACCATTACAGAACGAATCATAAAATTACATTTGACCCAAGCGACTTGAATGTTAAAGACATAAATGTCTTAATATACATATTGTTTGTCGATTTACAAGCTGTGATCAGCAATATATAAAACTATATCGCGTTTTACATGCATAATAAATACCCTCAGTAGAAATACTGACTTTGTGACTTTTCAAAAGTTTCATAAATATCAAACATATGTAAAATCTCACAAGATTAATATTGATTGATCCAAGAGCAATTTTTCCTCGAATGTCCATTCTTTCCAGTCATTTGATATAACAATTATATTATCCATAGGCAGCGGTAGAATTTCATGTACAAATGCATAATTTAAACTGTGAATAGACGCTGTAACAATGGAAATAAAAAGAAAAAATGCATACAAATAGTTCAAATACCTAGTATTCCAAATTGGTAATGTCGCTGGGTAGTTTATCACCTCGGAGGTTTTTCAAGTCAAGATCTTGATAT